TCTTGGTGCTGGGTGTTTTTACTGAACGCAGCCAGTACTGCTATATGTAAAGATAGACAGAGCCTTGAAGTGAAGCCCGTCAAATGATCGCTTTGTGTAATAAAGGATGCAAACAAACCAACCAAGGTAGGGCAGACTAACAACACCCAGTGACATCTTCCGTGGGCCTTCCTTCTCCCTCCAGTCTTCTATTTTCCCCACAAGAAAGCCAAACTGTGTCAGTGACAGTCATGCAAAACCACATTTGCCTCTTTTCCTTTATTAAATACCACCAGTAAGACATCATGAAAATCTAAAATCTGTATCCCATGTTTGTTATGTACCCCAATTTAGCTCTCCCATATTGGCCAAACACAGAAGCTACAGTGTGAAGTTAATGACTTTCCTGAACTCTAAAATGTGCCATTAATACGAATCCAACTGGCCTCTTCTCTGAGCTGAAGGTGCCTGTCCTGACCCAGCTGACATTTCTACACCTAGCTATGTTTTCCAGCCCATGGACAGCCACAATCAAACGCCACATTTCCTGGGAGAAAGGTGTGCAAAACATAGTCCAGATCTTCTAAACAGGAACAGTGCAAAACCTGCTCCCAACAAGGACAGTTGATTCGAGAAATTACAGCACTTGGGGTTTTTGTTTATTTGTTTTAGTTTTCACAGAATAAACACACAGAAAGGGAAGAAAACTTTGTCTCCTCTGCTCCTATTCTTGCAGTGAATACATATTTGTGTTTCCAATAAAAGGCCATTTTTACATTAACTGTCTGTAACAGCAGGAGACAGAAGAAGAAGCACAATCCCCACATCACACACAGGATGCTCTCCATATCACGTGGATCTATTCTCAAAACTATTATTTCTGAAAGACCCCAGGAAGATGCACAGTACCTCTTTTCTGCACCCAGAGGGTGACGACATCACAGGGACTTTGAGACCTTTGGGGTCCTCTACATTTTAGATTTTGTTTTTCTTTTTTGGCTATCCAAAGTAAATTTAGCAACCATGAGGGCCACCCTGTTTAATTAAGCTTTCAAAAGTCCTCTGACAATGCCAACCATTGTAGGACACTTCTGTAGCTCAATCACACAATCACTGTGTCGGTTCTATTTACAATGTGTCTTAGAGTTTCTCAGACATTGTACTTTGACAAAACATCCAAGCTGCCAGTCCACAACCTTTCCCTGTCTTATTTACAAATACAGCTTGTATACAGTAACCCAGTTCCACCTACATGAGTTTGTGGGTAGAGGCCTCACAAATACTGCCTCCCTATGAAAATGCTCGGTATTTGTTACAAAACAACATTCTCTGCTCTACAGATTCTGAGTTAAATAAAAACGTTTGCCAATACATTTGTTTTTTAAAGCATGGTGCTTTCTGGTTTTTGCTGATACACTGAAGATTGACTTCAGAGATTAATATTATTTTATTCAGAATCATACAAATAAAGAGAAATGAAAAATAAGCAGTCATAAGATACTGTCATTTATAGTCTCATTTACAATTAACATACAAACACTTCCTCTAATTCAGTCTAGGCTAGGAAAGAATGAAAATGGGTACAAAGAGAAAGGGGAAGTTAGTTCTGTAAATTCTGAAAAGAGTGAGTATGGCACTTGGTTTACCTGTAAGTAAAATGCTAATGCAGTTGCTTTTAATATTTCCCTACCCATTAGAGGCTGTCTTGCATATCATTAGCCAGATCAGTTGTTGTATCTGGGCAGATAGTGCCAAACACCCCAGTGAAAATACCTGTATTCTAGATGTTAGAGTAAACAACAATGTTCCATCAGGAGCAGCAGGCTTCTGCCCTGCATCTTAGCACACTGCTTTCCTATTCTGTTTAAAAGCTAACTTTATGATAGGCGAATCTTATTTTAAAGATTCCCGTGTGCAATGAGCAAAACTTCAAGACTGACACTGTGAGATAATGTTTGGGTCCCTTTCTGTAAAAGAATAACAGTTTTATACTCACTAATCCTCAATTAACATTCTACTCATCATAAAATAAAAGTCTCAAAATATATAAAGCTCCATGGGTGAAAGGCCGCTCCTATCTGTTGATGGGTTTTGATATGTATATTGATGAACTGGACCACACAAGATAAGCTGCTAATAGCTAGTTAAATGAATACTGTTCAATAGTCTCTGTGGATCATAATCATATAAGGCTCTGAATATCTTAAAAAATTGGAAAGGCAGCTTGCTCACGACATTGGATATAGGTAACACATGTGCATATATGAGAATGCACAGCCATCTAGTCATCAGGTAAAAACAACCTGCAAAAAAACCCAGTCAGCTTTGGGAGACCTGAGCATAGCCCATTCCACATAAAGTGCTATTTTACTGCAGCTCTTAAGAATTTTGCCATCCTGTTTCAAAGTCCCCAAATTCTAGGCTTTACCTAGGAAGATTTCATTCCTTCTTCCTGCCTGTAAAATGGCATAGACCACACAGTGACCCCCAATCTAACTTATGTCACTTTCATAAAGTCTTTCCTACTCAGCATGCTTAAATGACTGTCTTTCATGTAGTTTCCAAGCATATTCTTGTAGACATTCATAAGCATATTTCTTCCCCAGTAGAGACCACTGCTTTCTCTTTATGACACACAGTTCAACTGTCTACTGAGGGGCTACTGTTGGGAACCGTGGTAGACTGGATATAGGGAAATCAGTCGGGAGGACAGTCATCTTTCCAGAACTTTGCTTCAGAGACACCCAAGGTCCAGAGTATCATAATTTATGTGCAATGGTGGAACATTAATTTCACTATAGGAAACAATTCATTAAAGTGAATCACAAGAAGCCATGACTCTAGTTACTGACATCTTACTTTGAGATGTGACCATGCTATTTATGCTCAGCCAATACCAAGGTAAGCACAGGTGATTAAGCACAATGAAAAGAATCAAGATGTTGCAATTATCCCTGCATGAAAGGTTTACCTCACCTGGATTGCATGTATATACTCAATGAGTATCTGAGACGCCTTAGATAGCTTTCCATTATGGAGAAACAATGTACTTATTCCCCCCTAGAAAATATATTTCAAATTTGAACATTTTTTTCTTTCTTTCTTTTTGGCTTCTTTAGACTCTCCCATCACACTAGTTTTGAAATATCACAGGATCATTATGACAAGCAGCAAGTTAAGGACTATTTCTTTCCCTGCACATCCATGTCGAGTCACAAGTACAAAAGTAAAAGGTTCTAACTATTTATAAGGCTTTCCCTGGCCTTCAGATCTGTCTTCTAAATCCAGAGGCCCTGATTTTCAAACTGGCTAACCTGAAACTGAAAACCTGCTTAGGCCTTCAGTGCTTTAATTCTCAACTGACAGACACTGTGTTTTGTCTTTTAAAGGAGCAGCTCGATATGTAAATATGATGTTACATCATACAAGCCTTACTCCATATTTGGTGATTTAGCAAGGCTTTGGATCTCCAAATCCCCTTCCGCCTGCTCTTGCTTCATTAATCATGCCTTACATTTTCCTTCTAGTCACAAGACAGCACATGGAAATGGTCATTGCCATATCCTACGGGGCAGGGGGCGGCAGAGACAAATATCTTAACCTACATGTCTCAAAGGCTAAATGTGGAAGCTTCTAGAACACACTACACAAGCAGCTTTCCTCGGCAGCAGAGTCCTTATTTCACTACAGAAAAAGAAAAAAGAGAATGTTCCACTTGATCTTAATGATCACATGCCAGATTGGGGGGGGGTATGAAGGGGGTGAGGGTTATGCCATATAACCCTCCCCCATCACTGATGGTCTGACTCTATGGTTCAACCATTTCAAACACGAGCTCCAATAAGCCCTGTGACTGTCTACATTGCTTTTCCAAAAATGAACAAACCTGCTTTTGTAGGGTGGGGGCAGTGCAGAGAAGGGACTGTCTCCCAGATGTGGCAGGCCTGTCACCACAGAATCTGCTTTTGCTTTGTCTGACGTGCTAAAGCAAACAGTGTTTTAAGAGCCACTGCCTAGTGTTGCTGTTTACCACTAGAGCAGGGAATTAAAGTCCCTCTGTTAGCTTTTAATTCCATTTCCCTGGAGCTGCTGAGAAACCCGAACACCTAGCTACCTTCTTGGTAAAATTAACGGAAAGAGAGGCAGCTATTAAATATGTGCATGCGTTTTTTTTCCCAAGCAAATTTTTACATTAGGCTAGAGAGGAAACAGAGGAGTCGGTACTGGACATTTGTAAGGGTGACATGTGGTTGTGTAAACCATAAACAAAATCAAGATACATCTGTCAAAACCACATCAGACACAAGAGAGAGCACTGAGAAGCATTTATCACTGAGCTGAGGAGGCAGGCTGCAGGGAGCAACCATTCCTGTCAAACCAACCTTTTGAAATTTCCAACATGCCCTTAAACTTTTCGAGTAAGCATGTCTGTGCGCTTCAGCAACTGCCCTCTCTACTCTGGCCTGGCCAGTCGAAAATGGCATCTTAAAGTCAAGGTCACAGTGTCATCCCACCACGGGCTGTGTTTAATTACAGCCCCACACAGGCTGACAGCCAGTATGGATCCAAGGCTAGCCCTGGAACTCAGTTAACTCTTTCCAGCCCTTCAGACAAGTCATTGACTCAACTACAACTGCCTGTATGGTTACCTTTCGTCATATATACATCCCCAAGACCAGAAGTGGTCACTGGAGACTGAGCTGGGTGTAGTAAGGTTCAACACTTTAAAATGAGAAGGCAAGCAGAGGGAAGAAGAAAGCTTTGGAAGTGTCAGAGCCAGGCAGAGGATGTCAAGTGTTTAACTTTCCCACCTACATCTGACTCAATAAGGTGGGGGAAAAATTTATTGTCGGGGTTCTGGACAGAAGCAACAGGAATGATAATTAACATCACAAGACTGTCACGGACAGTCACACGGAGAAATACAGACAGCACTCCACCATGCCTTCCTGCCTTCCTACAATACCTCTGCAAACGAAAAGAAAACATGCAAACAGCTTTTCTCCTTGCTTCTCGGTTACCTGCTATGTGTTCCTGTTTGGGGCAAATTCCTCTAGATGACGTTGATAAACAATCGTCATCCTCTGGCGTGACCTGGATGCCAACCTCCACAGGATTGGATGCCTTTTTCATCTCAATTGGTGAAGGGGAAGGTGGCTTATCCACAGCTTTTTCTAAGCAGAGGCTGCCATTGCATTGTTTCCGTTTGTGCTCAATGAAAATAAGAATGTCCCCCAATGGGAAGTTCATCTGGCACTGCCCACAGGTGAGGAGGTCATGGTCCCCTTCTGGAGCTCCCAATGGGCCGTGATCTGGTTCATCATCTGTGAGAATGGCTTCAAGAGGTTCGGCTGTAGTTGAAAAAACAAAAACACAATTTTTAGAGAACCAGTGTGGAGAGAAAAGGGAGGATATACATTCTCAATTCTACCCCCACCCCACCACGGCAATCTCCATAAGACACCCCACAAATTGGACATAGGCAATGTGCAATGTGGAGGGTATCAATAATCAAGTAAATTGATCAGTGAGGGTGACCATCATGTTCTAAAGGAAATCCCTCCAACTTGAATAACTTCAGAGAACACACACACACACACACACACACACACACACACACACACACACACACTATAATTTACTATATATTTTTTAATGTGACTTTAATAGTTAACACAAGAAATGTAAAGAAAACTTAAGATAATAAATATGAGAAAAACATGAACTGAAACCAAATGTGTTTCCTTCCATACAGTAAGTTGTCTGTTGTGCCCAGGGTTAGAGGGGAGTAAGCACACAGACTGTGTGTGAGTGTGTGTACTGACTGTACATACAAGGCCTCACAAGGGAGAAGGCTTCTACACCACACAGGACTGTGCCACACTTACATCAAAGACGTCAGGAAGTGACTGCATCCACCTAACTAACCATCCCCACGCAGGGAATCTCATACTGCCAAAATCTCTCTGTCCTCATCCTCAGCTACTCCACAAAATCAAAGGAATATCAAATTTCCTGGCACTTCTCAAACACACTCACTAATGGGATACTTCTGAGTAGTTAAGAAAATAAGCCAACTAGTATGATTTGATTTTTTTTTCATTCTGAGGAAAATATTGTCTAAAATATTCTGAACATGTTGGTTCTTAGTGGTTTCCATGACATAAGATCAGAGTGGACTCCCAAGCTCCACACTTTAGAGGGCTGGGCATCCTTTCCTCAGAGTTGAGATGCTTCATCTAATGTAGTCAAAGTTGACTCATTTTCTGAGTGAGCTCCAAACGCTTCATTACGGGATATTTCTGCACACACAATCACCAGCGTGTGTTATAACAAGGTAGACATGCCTTTCTTTCCCGTCTGCTTTTTTGGTTTTTTTTTTTTTTTTCTCTCTTTTTTTTTTTAACTCTGCACTCTATTTCAGCAGCTTCTATTATTTTTTTTAACCATGCAAGTGGAGAAAGGGGAGCTGGGAAATGTTGTTTACACCATCTTAAAATACTAATTTTTTTTTAAAAAAATGTACAAAATACAAAACATGTCCAGGATGCCACCAGTTAATAAAGTGAAGCAGAAAATGTACAAGTCTTAAACAGTTAATCAGTCTGACCTTCTTTAGCAAGCTGCCAATTTCACATTTAATGAACTTAAAGCCACAGAGAATCAAAAAATAGATTTTAATTTGAGTGTAGAATATTGGAACAGATTTTGATAAAGTGCAAAAATCCAGCGAACTCAGGTTAAATTTATTTCAACCCTACCCAGGTTGAATATTGAGGGGGAAGATCTGGAGTAACTCCCAGATGTGCTGGGTGAAATAATATTAAGAGTCCTGCCTAAGCCGCACCTGTGCTCAAGTAGGACATGTCATAATTCCTCGCCTTTGGTACTGCCTCCTAATTGAACATAAGGTCACCACAAGAATATGAAGGTTATCTCTCTACTAATGAAGACAGCAAAGCAAGCACTTAAATGTTTCTTTGCCCAACATCCTGATCAAAAGACAAATACAGAATGCACAAGTATGCCTTTCAGATAAAGGAGGCAAACGGAAGTGCTTCTCATTGTCTTCCAGTCATTTTTCAACTGCATTTGCTTTCATTTTGACCAAGTGAGGAGTGGGAAGTCGTGATCCATGATTCCTGCTATTCAAATTAAATATTTTAAATGAACATTGGCAATTGTGTCCCTTTTTGCTGCTGTTGTTTAGCTACAAGTTCTGGGGTTAAGAGACTGTGAGGCTCAGGGAGAGATTTTGTTCTATTAATGGTAGAACGTTTTTGCAAATCCTATCATCAGGATTCATTTGGGGTTTTATTGTTGTTGTTGTTGCTGCTGCTGCTTTCATTCCCTGACGGATTTCAGAATCTAGGAACAGTGTTAGGAGCAAAGGGGATACTCTCTTAGATATCAAATAGTTAAAGGTAATTTGGTACAAAACAGACTTAGTTAAAGTCTTCTAAACGTAGTGACTGAACTGATTTACAATCCAAACCAGGAAATGAAGTGGTAATTCACAGGTTGCTGATTACACCTCCACATCTCACCTAATTAATTTTATAGGAGGCAAAGTTCTTGAAAATAACAAGATGATCAAATGTACAGATATAAAACCTGTAACCTCAACATTTTCTATGCTCTTAATGTAAATTACTACTAATTAACAAGAAATATTCTAATATTCGAAATACATCTAACATCGGTTTACCTGAAAAACATTTGGCTAGCTGTGTTCAGAGAAATAGCAAAACGTGTTTTTATTATTGCTTCTGCATTATTTTTTAAAAAAAATCAGACCAAATGGGCACAAAGAAAATATGAAAATACAATTCTCTTGCTGCAGCCTACTGATTTGCATTGACATCCTGTCTCAGTGGCAACCAACATTTCCTTTCTGGGCATCAGATAATTTCTCTGTATTTTAATGCAAATTCCTCATTCCCTAAAAACATTTCTAACCTCAGCCATTTTACCCCCTCCCTTCAATTCAACTCCATCCTAATTCTCTCCTACAATACCACCCTTTCTAAGCTCAGGCCTAACTCTGTACAAAGCGGGGAGTCCTCGATTGAAGTGGAAGGGAGTGAATAAATAATCACAATAATTAGCCGCGAATTCTACCTACAAGGGGAGGAAGACAAGATGAAATGCTTCTGCTTTTACCAAGACAGACTGTGTCCCAGCGACCGCAGATCGAGACATATTTATATATTTGTATTTATTTCTCTCTTCCCCTCCCCCGCCACCCCATTGCAAACACTTAAAGAGGGGTCAAAATCCTTGTAAGAAATGTTGGGAGAAGGTAAGAAAGCCAGAGCTGCTGGTGAAGGGGGAAGGGCAAATGGGAGCTGTGTCAAGTTTGCTTTCCAAGTGGATTTTCTTAACACGATAAAGCAAACGTAGGCTGAAAAATCAGAGAGGCAAAGCAAAGAAACAAAAGCAAAGCCAAGGGCTACAGGCCGGGGGACCAGGGGCCGGGGCCCTACGGGAGTAGGCAGCTTAGAAAGTAAAGTTGGGCTCCCGGGCTCCCTGGTACAAAGCGAGCAGCCTCCTTCCTGGCTGCAAGCTCAGGCCCTGCACAGCGAACACGTGCAGCAGTTACCCGCAGCCGGAGCTTGGAGGCGGCGGGTGGCCCCAGGATTCGGCTGCTGCCTCCACGCCCATCCAGGCCGGCTACCGCCGAGTGCCGGTTCCCTGAACCCGCCAGTTGGTGAAAAAAGGAAGTAAGGTTTGGAAAACTGAGCTGAATAATCTCAAGTCTTGGCTTCATCCCGCACACCCACAGCGCGGGTCCTGAAATTCATTCTGTGTGCACAGGCTAACACTTTTACTTTGGAAGATCTGTGCAAATGTGTTTCGTCCGCAATTCCGGGGACCGTGTGCGCGCCAGGCGGCGACCGCGGTTATTCATTATTAATGACGCTGCTAGCCCGCATCATTATGATGATAACTATTACTATTGTTGTGATTTCGGGCTTCCAGGCGAGAGCTGCAGGAGGCGGGGAGGGGGAGCGTAGGGGTTGCCAAGCCGTCCGGTAAGCCTGTGGTGGCCGCCGAGACCTGTGCTGTGCGCGGGGATGGGGGTGGAAAAAAGTGATCCTAGAGGCCAAGGACAAACTTGCCATATCCCTGCTCTCGGCCAGCTCAAAGCTCCAGAGCGCACTCCCCCTTCCTGGATAACAAAAATGCCTTCCCTGAAAGCACCCTAAAGTGCACCGGGCTCCGCGCAGGGAGCTGCCGGATCTCCTTGCACGTGGGGGGGGGGGGTCGGCTGCGCGCCCGGCGCTTCTCCACGGCCCCAGCCAAACGCATTTTTTTTAAGTAAAAAAAATAAAGAACAAAGACCTAAGGGGTAATGGGGGGTGGAGAAAGGGAATTCTGCCTAACCGTTCGTTGCCCCCCCACCCCCACTCTCCCAACGTTCTTCCCTCCCCCGCCAAGAAATGCCGGGCAGCGGATGGGGGAGGCTCTGGTACAGGTTCAAGTTCGCTGAGCTTTTCTTGATCTTGTTCTGCCTCCTAGCGACCAAATGGCTCATTCAGTCCACGTAGCTGAGGACGAGTGTTGGGGAGGGGGTTTCCTAAGGACCCGGGAGGTTCCTGCCCTCTGAGCACCCAGAAAATGAAAGAAGTGATTCCTGCACATACCCCTCCAACTGCCCTCCTACTCCAGTGTCCCTCCCCGGGACAGCAGAGACTAATCCTCCCAGCCTGGAGAGTCCCAGAAGGGACCCAAGTAGGAGGAGAGTAGTGAGCAGCTCCGACTGCGCCTCCCAGACTGTCCCTTGCGCCCCCATTGCATCCTTCCAACTGTCCCAAAGTCCCGGCTTTCCCGAGTCCTGCGAACACTGCCCTTCCTTCCCGCCGGTACCTGGCCGGGCTGTAACTTCACACCGTCGCGCGCCGCGTCTGCTCTGTATCCGGCGCGGCCGGTGGGAGTGGGGGCGGGGGAGAGCGACGAGGGAGAGATGCGCGGGGGTGGGGAGAGGGAGGGCCCCGCAACGTGCCAGGGCGGGGGAGCTTCCGAAGTGTGTGACAAGTTCCTCGGCCGGGGGGGGGGGATCCCAATGAGCACCCCTCCCTGAACAAATGCAGAAGAGAACTTAGGGGGTCCCTTCAAGCTTTCGTCAAAAATTAAGAGTCACGAATGAGAGAAGGATTTGATGGAGGGGGGGGCATGCTTTCCTTACTGAACTCAAACTTTCCTAAGTGCCCACCATCCGCCTCTCCAAGCACACCTTCTGGTGGAGTTCGTCAACACCGCCACTAGCAATTTACATAAACTCACAGAAGCCCCTGACCAAGACAGGCCCAGAGTATAGGACAAGAACCCAAAAATGGGCCTCTCTGAGTCCGGGGACCCTGCACCCCAAAACGCACACTCAACACACTTCTTACCTGCCCTGTTCCCCCCTCAACCTAGCCAGGCAACTGCTTTGGTCCAGGAGGCTACTGGTCAGATTGGGAGGGGGGCAGGGAAAGCACGTGTTAAGCTCCCCGCCGCCCAAAGAGTACCCCGGGTGTAATGGAGGGGAATCATCAGAACTCGCCTTTACAGTTGCTCTGCAAAATAAAAATGTTTTGCAAAACCGAATTTCATCCAGCAGCTTTCGCTGTCTGGGAGGTCGGAGGGAAGGCTAGGCATTGTGTTAGGGGCGGACCGGAGCGCAGGCCGGGCTGGCCAAGTCGCGGCGTGGCCTGACGCGGTGCCTGGCGGGTGGGCGGCGAGCGCCGGGTGGGCGATCCCGACTCCAGACTGGGGTGCGGCGAGGTCGAGCGAGGCCCAGCCGCTGCGGCCGCCTGCTCCGGGGCTGCCGCGGCGCGCTCGGTCCTCTGTCTGTTTGTTGGCAGGAGGCTCCCGCACACGCGGTGCTTGTAAACATTCAGACACGAGATTTTTCCCAATCAAAATCCACTTCCACTTTTTTTGAAAATCTTCCAAAAAATAGTAAGAGGAGGGAGTTCCTCGCTCCCTCTCCAAGCCGCCAGCGCTCTAAGTTTGCAACTTGAAGGGGTTTTGAGGAAGGGGGTGTGAAGGGTTTTTTTTCTTCTTCTTCTTCTTTTTTTTTTTTCTTTTTTCTCTATTAAAGATTGTGGAATTTCTTCAGGGGTGGGGGATGTGGAAGAATCCCAGAAAAGCGGTGAAAAATACGACTGGAGGAACATTTGGTTTCTTTTGGGGGGGCAAGAAAATGTACATTCTTTAGCGTTACTTTTTTTTTTTAACGGCGTCTTCGCCTCATCTCCTCCAGAGCTCAGCCAGGAGGGGCGGGCAAAGGCAACCCGCCGGCGGCTGCTCGTGCGCCCTCCCTCCCTCTACCGCGTGCCCCGAGCCGCCTCCTCACTCGGCCCTTGCTCCTGCCCTTCCGCGGCGGCGGCGGCGCAGGAGGGCAAGCGCGAGGAGCCCGCACAAAAGGCGGCGGGACAAACACCCACCTCTGGCCGAAACAAAAGACGGTAGAGCCGGGCGCGACTCCGACCCTTCCCGGTCACCCGGCTCTCCCCGCCGCTGCAGCCCCTCTCCGGACTCGGCTGCCTGGGAAGTACCGGGGTCCCCTCTACGGTCCCACTTTCGTACTATTGTGAGGGGTGACTACTTTGCTCCTACTGCACACTTGACCGTGCACACATTGGTGTCCTAAGGCCAGTCTCACCTCTTTTCTCCCCAGGAATTGTTTTTTAGACTTGACGCCCTCCCTACCCCCTCCATTTTCCTACAGTGAAGTGGAAACAACCCCCCTTTCCTTCCAGCTCCCACCCCCAGGTTTGCATGTGAGTTGTTCGCATCCTTAGCATTGTTCATTATTTTTGCAAAACTGGGGTAGAAATCATTGCATTCCTTTTTGAAAGAAGAAATAAAGCGGCGGAGAGGAGGAAAGAGGAGGAGTCAAATTTTTTTATATATATAAAATTAAAAGGTGCGTGCCGTCTTAAAAGTGCACACACGGTTCTCGTTCGAGAGATCTGGGGCTTTTTCCCCTTTAATATCTTTTTACCCCAACTAACGAAGATTTTTCACCTGAATTTTTTTTTAATGCATGCACACACCCTTCTCAACCTCACTTTTGCTTAGCGTCCTGCGCTCCCTCGTGATTATTAATAATTATTATTACTATTATTGGGTTACTTACGCGAGAATTCCCGTTTGCTTAAGTGCTGGGGTTTGCCTTGCTTGCGGCGAGACATGGTGGGCTGCGGGGCGGGCGGGTGGCGGCGGCGGCGGCTTGCGGACGACGGCTCGGTTCACATCGGGAGAGCCGGGTTAGAAAGAAGGAGACTCCAGAGAAAATATCTTCATCAGTGCCTTTTGACATCCAAAATAAATTAGAAATAATACAAAGATGGCGCAGGGAAGATGAATTGTGGGAGAGCCGTCATGGCTTTTTTTTTTTTAAGCAAAAAAAAAAAAAGAGAGAGAGAGAGAGAGAGAGAAGAGAGAGATAGAGGGAGAGAGAGAGAGATGAAAAAAATGGCAAAAGCCCCCCTGAGCTGCAAGTTCAAGTGCGGACGTGACGTCCCTGCGAACTTGAACGTCAGGAGTCTGGATGGACAGAGACACACAAAACATGGGCAGGGCGAGCAGGAGAGAAGGGGAGGAGGGAAGGGGAAGCTCACACCAATGGACACACATCAGGGGCTGGACATGAAAAAGAGACCAGGACAAGCCAATGGCCAGTGCGGGGCGGGGGAGGTGTGGGGCGGGGGGCTCCGCAGACGCCAGACGCGGCCCCTGGGGGAGGGGCGGACGGAGGGGAGGGGGCTCTGGGGCGGCTGGCTCACCAGTGGCCGCAGCGAGCGCCGCGGCGGTGGCGTGGCCGGGAGAGAAGAAAGGGGTGGCGGGGTGGGGGGGAGGAGTGAGGGGGAGCAAGACTTGCTCCCTGCTCCACTCCCCCCTGCACACACACACACTCACCGACCCTAAAATGAAAAATTATTTGGGAGGGGGGAAGTGAGCAAGAGTGCTCCAGGACGCTGCAGCCCAGAGCCGGGGAGGCGCGGGCGGAGAGAAACCAGGTAGAGTGGGTCCCCGGACACCCTCCTCCATGCGCACACCTACTTCCCCTCCCAGCCAGCGGACGCTGAGGGTTGGAGTGCAAGCCCCGAGCCCGCGGCAGCGCTCTGGAAACTTTGCCCAAGGAAAGCTAGGAAAGAAAAAAAATCACCCGAAGTTGAGAGCTGAGCCTGCAAGTTAGAGCTCGGCAGCGGGCGAGGGGAGGCGGGAGGGAGCGAGCGGAGGAGCGAAATCCAGTCCAAGTTTGGAGGGTCGCCGGTCCGGAAGGCCAGCTCTGGGGCCTGAGGGAGCAGAAGCCGCCAGGAGGGAGGGGGTTGGGGCAAGGCCGGCGGCGCAGGCCTAGGCTCAAGGGCTGAGAGCGCGCCCCCAAGGCCAAGTCAGGGACTCGGAATCTGAGCGACCCAACTAGCGATCGGGTCTGAATGCCACCCACAGAAACCCTGAGTCCCCAGCCACCAAGGGTCGCAGAATGAGAGGCAGAGATACAAAGCTCGAGAAGACAGATTCCGGGTGCGTTCCAGTCCCCAGAGTGGAGCACTCGGGGCCGGGGCTCGTGGCACCCAGGCGTCCACCTCAGAGCTATCGTCGGCCAGAGGACAAAGCACGGGTAGCCCCCAGATCCCCAGTCTCTGAGAACCTGCTCCCGACGCTGCGGGAGGTCCTTCAGCCTGATTCCAGGGAGGGACACACCCCCTCCCACTTCAGGGCAAATGCAAAAGCACTGAGCAAAGGGAAGGAAAATGTTTCTTGCGAACAGAACACAATTGTTCCTCAGCTGTTACTCGAGGAAAGAGAAAATAGGGAAAGGAATGGAACTGGCTAGCAGGAGCAGCCGGGAGGCCACTGTGGTGAGGCCCTCGGGTCGCGGCCGCGCTCCCCAGGCGCCAGCAGCCACCGCGTACACGCGGGAGCCCGAAGCCCCCTCTGGGCCCTCTGAAGCCCTTCCCTGGAATTAGGAAAGACCTGTTGGAAATAAACCCCTGTCTCTTTAATGCACACACGCGCGCGCGCTGCCGCTGTCAAAAAGCGGGCTTCACTCTGGCGTGGGATACTTTCAGTTTTACGTAAAATGTACAGCAACAGCACCCCCTGCGATTGGAAAGTTTATTCAGAAACGTGCTGCAAAGTCCCTTGGCGTCTCCCGCCTCCCAGCCTCCCAGCCTGCCTGCACCACCCTGCAGCCGCCGCAGTCGCCGCCGCCGCAGCAGCAGCTAGGGAGACGGCTCTCCGAGTCCAAATCTAGCAGCGCCCAGGCGGGGGCGGGGGATGGACAGAGTCCCCGGGAGGCGCGGAGGGCGCAGGGTGGACACCCGAGCTGCAGGTGGACATCTGTGAGTCTCTGCAGAGCCAGGAACCTTCCTCCCCTCTCCTCCAGCGGCTGCACCCAGCGTCCCTGCACCCCTCCTCCGAGAGGTGTCGTTTCCGTAAATTCACCCACCCGGCCGGGGATTGTATTGTTTTAAGGCAGGGCCCTGGGCTTGGCATGCGCTCGCCCACCTCCCAGCCTCACCAGCTTATGTCTGTTTATTCCTGTGTGTTAGGAAAGTTTTAAACCTATTAGAAAATGGCTTGCCTGATTCGGGGAAGCTTCGTACCCCTCTGTGGAAGAAACACAGGTTTTGGTGCCTAACGTTAAGGAAAGCTGCGGCTAGACTGGGGGCGGAGGGGGGGACGTTTCTCTCTAGCTGGTTTTTCTGCGCGGGGGAGGGGGGCGGGGAGGTTGGATCTCGTATTCTGTTTGAGGAGCAGGAAGACTTTATTGCCGTAACTGCAGGACACCGTTTCCCCTTTTCACTGAGTTCTTCAGAGCCGGTCAGCACCTCTTCCTCGGGTTTTTTTTTTTTTTTTTTTTTTTTGCTTATTAAACCAGCCTTAGAATCACCAAGTGAATGTCGCCGCGGGGAGTGGCAGGGAAGGCGGGACACAGAGGTGAACCTCTGGGGGAGATAGGTGAGATCAGAGTAAAAGAAAGCGCAACCTGGAGGCCTTGGGAAAATAAATAAATAAATAAATGCCCCTGCAGGTAACAATAGTGAAGCCAGGCTCATTCAGAACCGGCTGGGCAGATTTGAATCTTGTTCTCATCCATAAAAGTCCATACAGAAAGGAGACAGATACGTGGACAAATTGTGCTGTAGAAGTATATGCTGTGTATGTGTGATTTATTTATAATGGTGTGTATAAAGCTTTTCAGGCTTGGCTGTAGTGTAAAAAGTAATGACTTTATTACCTCTGAAAGGTTCTGTGGTTCACATTTAACAGTCTTCTGAATTACAATTCATTACACAATCGTGTGCTCTCTAAAACCGGCACCCTATCAGGGCCGCTATCTGTGGTTATTCCCAATAAATAACTGGCAGCGTTTTATTGATTTTCTTTAAAAAAAATCATAGGAAATTAAGCACTTAGTTACAAGTAGGTCTGCTGTTACTGCACTTGTTTCAGATTCCAGGAGGTTCCTTCGGAAGCCACGTCTTAAAACATACATTTAAAAAGCCAGTTGCAGCTGCTTGCCTGGGTTCAGAGGTAAGCAGCAACGTTTCCACGATTAACATATATTTAATTTCTTCATCATAAAATGCCCAGGGTGAAATGGGACTTGCCATCCTCTCCCGCCCCTCCCCCAACCAGATTTCACCCAGCCCAGAAAACCAGGGCTGTGCATAGGCATTTGATCTGTCCTAGCCAGCCCCCCTTGGGGTCCCCGGTGCTCGCGGGTACCGGTGATGCCCCTCCCTGAATGTTCACTCCAGCGCGAAGGTGGGGGAGGGGAAGTTTATATGAGTGTTTAAAGAAGTAAAAACGTGGCGTTCTAAGAGATTTGAAAATATTACATAAGTACTGATTAATGATGCAGGTGGTGTTGTGGAGCGGGGTGAAAGGTCACTTTAAATGTGCATACTTGGGTACACAATAAGTATATTTACCCTTCCAGAAGTGGCTTTTAGAAAGTAATAAATTATGGCAACGTTAGAATTATTTTCTAGCTGTTCAGTTAACTTCGTTGTGGTTGTAGCTGCTTGTATTGAGAGACCTCGGTGGGCTCTTTCCCAACCTTTAGTGACGACAGTGCATAAACCCTAGGCCAGCAGACGACCCCTCCCCTTCCCTCCTCACCCCCTTTTATCTTGCCGGCGGAGGAGACTCCCCATACTTCCTGCAGTATATATTCTGCCTCTGATCTCCGTACTTAATAGCCAAGTCCTGGTTTATGGTTTATAATGTGTTGACAAGTTTTCTAACAGACTTTCTGGAATAATGCACATATATTCACGTCGTTTAGAAACCCACCGTATTTTTAAAGTCGAGTAGATCTATACCCTAATGTAGAGAGAGGGTGTAAATCATAGAGGGTTCCATAGTCCTTTCAGTAGTTTTCGGTATGAAGTATGAGCCGCGTGGCCTCCAGACGTAACCTTTTTGAAAAAAAGACAGTGCTTTTATTTTATGGTGTAAAGTGCTTTTAGCTTCGGGGCTCTGAACGTGAATGTGGTCAACAAACAGCTCCAAGAGGGAGGCTTAATACAGCCCCAGCCCTCCAGTGAGTATCTCCTGACACCGGGGACTCTCTGTGAGCTGGAAAAGGAAGAGTTAAAAGGTCTGTCTCAATGGAAACTACAAGATTAAAATAAAATATTCACTGTCTGCCTTTAGGGTGAAACACTTTTATAGACAAAATAAATAAATGAGTACTGAATGATTAAAAATGCATTCCGTCCCATCTTGCTTTTTACTTCATCCTTTTTCCTTCTTTTTATTATTTTTGTTGCCTAATTGGCAGAACAGAATAATAGAGACTGGGCAGTCATCTTTTGGCTTGAACCCTACACTCAGCACAGGTTTCAAATCTAGGGCTGTGGAAGGTGGGCTACTAGCTGGAGGGTTGTTAGACAATGCGTTTGAGCAGAGGCTGTGTTTTAGTAGCGAAGTGAGCCAGCATCTTTGCCCCCTGCTGCCTGTGTGACCGGAAGCCTGGAGACCTAAAGAGGCTCCCTAGAGTAGACAGTATCTATCCCTTCCTGGAAGACTAGGCTCTTCCTCTGGAGTGATCATGGAAGACACAGGTTCCCCCATCTTGAGACAGTCATCACTCTGATATCTTTCTTCAGTGGCTGCCTGGGTTTCTGGGGGGGGGGGGGGAGGCTGGCAGGTTGCTTCATACATCCGGATGCACCTATAGGAAAGGAAAGGAAGGGAAGGGAAGGGAAGGGAAGGGAAGGGAAGGGAAGGGAAGGGAAGGGAAGGGAAGGGAAGGGAAGGGAAGGGAAGGAAAAAGCAAGGGAAAGAAAGGACTCGGTCTGCCCTTGGACAAGACTGCTGTGTGTTGAGTCAATCATGCATGAGGAAGGGGAGCAATGGTCTCAGTTAAGGGCTCCTCTCAAAAGACATGAAGTTCTGGTTAGAACATTCTTAACATCCTAGCCTTTGCACAAAAGATGCATAGGTAAAAGCTGACTGTCAATGACTGCACTGTGCTAGTGATCCCTGGTACAATACTCAGGACACTGTAAGTGCTCCAGAAACAGTCTCTGAGTGAATGAGCTAACTAACTACAAATCCTCTTACCACACCCATGAAACCAATTCATAACCATCCAAACTGTATTAATTTCCCCAGAAACCAATAAGGCTTTGTGAGGCAGTCCTACATGAGAATGCATTTAAGTCTTAAAGT